GGCCGCCAGGCCTGGGGGCGGCCCCCGGCGCCTGCTTCCCCGCACGGCCTCGGTGTTGCCTCTCCTGACGCGCACCGGGCTGCGCTGCCACGGGCATTTTTTAAGACGTGGTCTATAAAAGTTGTTCTCTGAAGTACTGACCTTCCTGCTAGGAATTAAGAATATTCTTTATGTAAGAAGAAGGTATGGAACCACCAATAATCTCCCAGCTTCCCACCAGGCGGTACGAAGGGTTCACGGCGCAGGCAGTACCGCGTTTACACCGGCCCTTTTCACGGTCTCCCCGTTTCCAGAGTCGCTCCTGAATTGGGGGAAAGGTGAAGGGCACTGGGTCAGGGCGGCCGGGCAGCCGCGTCCCTCGGGCAGCAGCAATGTCCCCTGGCGGGATGCAGCCGCCTGCCCAAAGCGTCGCTGTGACAGCGGCAGTCAGCGAAGGCAGCTCCACGCGACGCAGCTGGTCTCTCGCAGAGCGAAGGCGACGCTTCGGACACCGGTGGCTGGAGTTCAGCCCCCACCAAGAGATGCGCCGCTGTCGCGGTGGCATTCCCGACAGCGGCAGAGCTGGCGTAATCCTCCAAGGGAGCTGCACGAGGAGCTGGGTTTGAGCGTGGCTACTAGTGGCTTGTCACTGAATCCACCGAGCCAGATAGTAGGGGGGTTGCCGAAGCAGGCAGCTGGTCACCCAGATCCTTACGTGTTGTGAACCGTGGTCCTTCGTGCCACCTCCAGGTCTGAACCTCCCCTGTCCAATTCTCCCATTTGTCGGGGGGAGTGTCGGACTTTTTGAGAGTAACCTTCGGTGTTGTCCTTGCATACCCCTCTGGTATGAAAACCACAATAGGCTTAAGTTCTCTAGCACGAATTTGACAGCTGCTTTCATGGAAGGTACCACCTTTAGCGTTATTTTGAATTCAGGACTTTCTCTAGCCAAAACTTTTTGGTGGCAAAGCTATATATATAGACTGTATCATCCTTAAAAAAAAAAAAAGTCATTACAGTTACCTGGATTTTTTTTCAACCTCATCTTCTTTGCTGTTTCCAGATAAAGTATAAAATGTTTGTGAGGATAGAGGTCTCTCTAGATGTTTGTTGGTATTGTTTGATTGTTTTGTTTTTCTGTATAATGGTGGTAGCAGTTAGGTAAGAAAGCTTAGGCAAGAAGGTAAAACTTAGGTAAGACAGCAACATACCCTTTTGCAATGGCTGTGCCTTGTGAAAACTCCAGATAAGTAATATATTGCCTACTGGAAAATACAATCCTGAACTATTAATACATTCACTTAACACTTCAGTATTCAGTGCGTCTATGCCTAGCAGTGGTCTTCCTGCCTTTATTCACCTTTTAACTTTATAGACGTTTTCAGTATTCTCTGAAAATGCTTTTTTTTCACTGTGTTGATACCTATTGTTGCCTTCATTGTGCAGCCATGCTGCAGACAGGCCAGCAGCTTTATGAGACTTGAGCTGCAGAGGTCTTACACCTGATATTCTTTTTTTCTTTAGCAGATGCTCCGAACCATTGCAGGGCATGGATGGAGATCACGTTCTAGTAAACCTGCTCAAAATGTACATACAAGCAAACCTGGAGCTGGCTTTAGCTTTGGTAAGTATTTCAGTTTTTGAAAGAAATACAACAGTTAAGGACACATTGCAGAGTTAGGAAAAAAAAAAACCAAAACAACTGTATTACAGTTCAATATGAATTTACAATGAAGGTGTTTATTCTGAATAGATTTCTATTCTTTTTTAAAAACTATTTGAAAACCAAAATTACTTTCTTCTCCAACTCAGGAAAGCCAGGTAGATGTGTGATATTTCTGAGAGTTTCTTCTTTGTTTTAACTAATGTCTGTCTTGAGCTATTTTATTGCCAAAGTTGCCTTAGCTTTGAGTAACTATCTCACATTGGTTTTTAAAATCTTAAAATAACTGTATGTATTCTTAGTTGAACTTGATTATAAAGAAATTCATCCTCATCTTGGCATGTTATATATGTAAAAGTAAATCTAGTGGATCCTAAATGTTTGAAACTAAGTAACCAGAATGGTCAAATAAGGAACACCTGCCTCCATCTCCTCATTCATTTAATTAGCACAGCATGCTTCTCATTTCTTTTGGTAATACATTTTATGTTACATGGTACTTCCTACTCCGTTTTCAATATTTTGTGGATAATTTTGTCAGAAGTAAGTAAGTACATTCTAGGCATTCATTAGAGATCAGCAGAGGTTTTTTTTCTAGAGAGAAAGAGGAAGTTGAGCTGCTTTGGTTTCTGGAGAGGCCCAGGAAAGTGGGTCCTGGTGGTTTGAATTGTTCTGGAAGGAACTGAGACTTGTTTTTTTTCTTTTCTCATAGTCTGACAGCTGGCAAAATTAGAGTACAGAATTTGTGACTTTTTTTTTTTTACTTTCTTTTTTTAATAGAACTTACTGATGAACAGAAGGAGTTTCAAGCTACTGCTCGTAAATTTGCTGTGGAGGAAATTATTCCTGTTGCTGCACAATATGACAAAACTGGAGAGGTAAGTCTACCATGCAGTAGGTGAAAAAATAGATTTTTACCTTAACTTGCATAAAATCTAAAATGTTAATCAGAAGGTGATTCTGCCTGTTTATTTCAGTATCCTCTTCCGCTCATAAAACGAGCTTGGGAACTTGGTCTTATAAATTCACACATACCAGAAAGTTGCGGTAAGTAACCATTCTTTTTAACCTGTAAAATAAAACAAAGAAAAGGCCTTAGAGGAGATTTCTATTTGTAATTTTGGATTCTGTATAAAATGAACAGTTGCATATTTGAATACTCTAAATTTAATCAGTAGGCAGGTTGACACATACAGGTGATACTAGGGGTGGATGTTATCAGGCAACAAATTAGACAGATCACGATTTAGTAATTTATGACCAGATTTTCTACCATGATTACAACTGTCTAATGTTCCCCTGGTGCACTGTGTCAGCTGATGAGGCAGAGAAGTTAGGTCATATTTTGATCTAGTCTCTGATACAGGCTGAAGCAATTGAAGAGTTTGTTCCAGAAAGACAGTGTTCCAGTTTAGATGACATGCAGTACAGCAGTGCTTTGGCAGTGCTTAGGTATATGACTAACTGTGGAAAAAATGTTACATTTTAGATTTTCTTTTTTGCATTTATATTACCTGAAAAAGAAGTTGGAGAAATGTTTGTAGCAGACCCTATTTTATTTTTTTTAAGACTCACCAGAGAGTATATCTTGTATCAAAAATTTAATTAACAAGGTTAAGGAACAGAGACAAAAGAAGCAATTGTGAGGATCACATTTATTCAGCCACATATTCTAGGGAAACTCAAGGCTGAAACAGCTGGACTGTTGCAATGTGTAATCACTTGGCTATTAAATTAAAACTTACAAGTGACAAATTGGACACCGTTCCTTTACAAGGTCTCCAAGGGAGAGCTGCGAAAATACATACCAGTAAGACTGATATAGCGTGTATCATAGAATAGTTTGGGTTGGAAGGGACCTTTTAAGGCCATCTTGTCCAACCCCCCTGCAGTGAGCAGGGACATCTTCAACTAGATCAGGTGCTCAGAGCCCCGTCCAACCTTAATGTAAATTAAGAGCAAGTAAGATGAAGTACAAATAGAGTGGACACACATAAACCCGGTGTCCTAGGAAGGGTTTTTGTAAAAGGAAGTCATGGCTCAAAAAGTAATTGGAGTTCTCTCAAGTAGCTAAGAAGTGTGTGAACAAGGGATGCCTGCTTAGTATAAAATGCTTGAATTTGAAAAATCATTAGGTTTCATAGTGGAAAAATCATCAGCACAGTCTTGCTGGCACTTAGGCTATTTGGGATATCTATAAATTATCTGGAAAAGGATGTCAATTGTGAGATCGTAGAGTTTACTGATAATACTAAGTGATTCAGTACAGAAAAGATGAGGCTGGTGCAAACAGCTGTAGGAGAAGGTCATGACAGTTAGCTTCTGTCAGAAACAGATTACTGGGTTGGTTTTCTGGCTCATACGGACACTTTTTTTTTTTTTTTATTCCTAAGTGCTATGGTAGCTCAGGAGCCCCTGTGGCCCTTTCTCTGCTTCCTAAGAGCTCCTAAGGAAATTCTGAGATGTAAAGCAGTTGAAAGATCCTGGTGGTACATTCTTCCCTTTTTGTGCAACTTGGCCTACATCAAGCACATGATCACCTTGGAACCAAGAAATGTCAGTTTGAAGTCACCTGTTACTAATCTGCCAAAACTTTATTTAAAAAGCTTGCGTGGGACCATCTAATCACAGTGCACAATCCAATGTGCACGGGGGAATCTTTTTTTATAATCAGTTTTTGTAAATCACTAATATGTTCCACTTTAAACTCATTTTAGTCAACAAAATGTTTAAACTTGTAAAGTTTACTTTAAAATGTAGGTGGTCTTGGCCTTGGCAGTTTTGAAGCATGCCTTATTACAGAAGAGCTAGCTTATGGATGTACGGGGGTCCAAACTGCCATTGAGGCAAACTCCCTAGGGGTAAGTTCTGTCTTTTATTTTACCTCCTTTAAACTAGAGTCTATGCCTTTTGTAAAGATGGATTAATGGTCTAAACATTTTCTTGCAGCAAATGCCAGTAATCATTGCAGGAAATGAGCAGCAGCAGAAAAAATACTTAGGAAGAATGACAGAGGAACCAATGATGTGTGTAAGTATAGCTTAGGAACACTGTAGAATGTTCCTAATCATATTAATCAGTTTTGTTTGTTTGTTTAAAACACTGATATCTACTCACAACTTAGCCTGTTTTGGTTTTTAAACCAACGGTGGTATTTACTGAAAGACAAGGAATATTGAAGTAGATGTATTCAATAAGCAGAGAAGATACTACCTGGAAAGCCATCCTGAGTCACTTACTGAAAATTAACACCTTTTAATTCACTTTCAAGAGAAGGCATAGGAGTTTAAGAAAAAATGCAAGGTTTATATGAGCACAAACACAACTCAGGTGGGCATTAAACTTCATTTCTGAATTTTAAATATTGTCTGAGCAGTACTTGTATACATAGAAAGAAGTAAAGATTCATGTGCAATGCATTAAAATCTAAACTAAGCTTCATAAAATGAAGAGCACAGTTACCATAAAATGTTACTCTGTGGTCCTACTTTCAGATTTTAAAGATCCTCAGCTTTCATATCAGAGTTTGTGAAGCATAAGGAAGTGATGACCTATTAATTAAAAGTTACAGAATGGTTCTGTTTATCATTAAAAGACAACTTTAAGTATTATTATGGATTTATAAGGAAAATTAACCCTACATGTTTGGATTCTTGCTCAGACAGTTGTTGGGGGGGGGGTTTAATGTAATATTTTGAGGGTTTCCATGCAGTTCACACAAAACTTTTATAGATCAGTTTGGTGCACATAATTCTGCAATAATTTGTGGTTGCTTAAAGGTAGAACTTCTATTCATCAAGATTTTGCATTTTATTTTCTTTTAGGCTTACTGTGTAACAGAGCCTGGAGCAGGCTCTGATGTGGCTGGTATAAAAACAAAGGCTGAGAAGAAAGGAGATGAATATGTTATTAATGGCCAGAAGATGTGGATCACAAATGGTGGGAAAGCAAACTGGTGTGTTGACTTTTGACTCGCGTTACATTTTCTGTTATGCTGTTCTAAACTGAGGTGTGTTAGATACTAGTGTTAGTATCTAACTAATAAGTTAGATACTAACTAATCTAAGAGTTAGTAAGTATCTAACCCCTCAAGTTAGATACTAGTCTTTCTTTAAAGATCTGTTACAAATCTGAACGTTCACTATGTTTCACTTTAATCTGTGACCAGTTTATCAGGACAAGGTGTAAGAAAGCAGTCTCAGTGCTGTGCAATGCCTAAAAAGAAACTGAGTGATGACATGATGAGTCCATTCAAGAATTCCTCTCAGATTTTGCTGCTATCAAACAAAATTAATTCTGCTTTCTCTTCAAGGAAGGGCAGCAACAGTAAGACTTAACTTGCAAAGTACTCAAGGGGCTCGCATTACAAGCGACCTTGCTTTGTGGGTGTGGGCACCGAGATCAGTTGCTTCCGATTCTACTGGAAACAGTTCTCACTTTTACTGAAGATAGAAAAATTCTAGGGTTGTGGTGGTGCCTTTTATTTTCATACGGGAAGACATTTTCCAAGTGTCAAAGAACCCAGATTTTGCTGTGGTGTCTATGGAACATGCTTTACAATATAGATCTATTTTGTCATGTCTCACATAAGATGCTCATCCCCAACACATAAATTCTTTTTAATTCAAGAGGAAAAACTTCATACATTTGTGTATAAAGTTGAATTTTCTCGTTATTTATTTCCTTGTTCGAGGCAGAATCATGAAAGAGAATCTACCAGCTATCTTTTGATGTTACTAAACACCATAAATGTGATTTATAACTGTTTAATTTCTAACAGAAAAAAATTATTTACAACTTATACTTAGAAGAATAAAATTAAGATATTTGAAATCGAGAGGATAACACAACATTTTGCATGCAATACTGTATTTCCTAAGCAGGAATTTTATGTATGTGCTGTGAATAGGTTCCTTTTGTACTATTCATGAAGCTGATTGTAATACTAAGACTTAAAATACATGGAAAAGGTGAAGAACCTTTGCATGTTCATCTGAAGTAATTTTAGTTAAGTCTTGACTTTTGTGGTAGGAGAGGCACTGACACTTCTTCTCCCTCACTCCCTCCCAGTTTATTTTTGGAAGGGACAAGAAAACAGGGTTGTTAACTTATTGATAGATTTATTATATTGTACAAACACACATAAAAACATGTAACGTTACCTAAAGAAGTACCTGATCGTGAATTGTGAGGATAAACTGACTCCCCTCTTCTTTGTTTCACACTAGGTATTTTTTGCTAGCTCGTACCAATCCGGATCCAAAAGCTCCTGCAAGCAAAGCCTTTACTGGATTCATTGTGGAAGCAAATAGCCCTGGAATCCAAATTGGAAGAAAGGTGAACGGTGTTATCTTTGATGTGACAAGGCAGGCGTTACTATTCACTTCTAAACTAGTAATGCAACAAATTGCCGTTAAAGAAAAAAGACTGTTAAGCAACTGAACATTTTCATATGCCTGTACAATGATCTTTTCGTTTTCACAGCATATAGAAACTATTCATAAAACATAGTAATCATAATGTTATTAATTCACATAAGGAATTATTTGGAATGGTCTAAAGTAAGATGACTTTGCACAGCTGCAAAATAATCTTTGGGAACCGTTTAATTGATAAGTGCCAATAAATATGAAGTAGCATGCCTTGCAAGTGTAAGAAGCAAGGTGGACAACTTTAGCCACAAGCACCCACTGTGCTTTAATGTTAGCTACTCCTGCGCCAGGAACTGGCCTCGGAGATGCTGGTGCTAGTTCTCTTTTGGGGGGCACGGAGCAGAAGAAGGAAGAAAACAAAGAAAGTACTATTTGTAGTAGCAGGCACATTTGACATTGGGAAAGGAATTGGAGAACTTGAACATCTCGTTCGTTTGTTTGTTTGTTTGTTTGTAGTACAGCTGTGTTTTACTTCTGCCTGCATTTTAAGTTCTTTACTCTTTCCTCTCCCATCTCAAAGGATATAATTGAACTAGAAGAAGACAAATGAGTGATTAGAGCTACAGAATTAATTTCACATATGGAGAAAGTAAACTGCCCAGCTTTGACACATTAAGGGCATGCCGGTCTGTAAATGCAGAATTAGTATTTGTTGTGTATATGTTGATTTTTAGATAAAACTGAAGCGTTGCGGGGATAAGCTTTATGCTTTGAGTAAACTAAAGAATGAAAACATATTGTACTTTGGAAGAATCCAATTCAGTTGCACCTCTGTAAACTTCCCTTTTCAGGAAATGAATATGGGTCAGCGCTGCTCTGATACAAGAGGTATTGTCTTTGAAGATGTGAGAGTCCCAAAAGAAAATGTATTAATAGCTGAGGGAGCTGGCTTTAAAATCGCAATGGGAGCTTTTGATAAGACCAGACCACCTGTAAGTTACTTAAAATATACTTAAAATAAAATAAAAAAACAGAAATAAGTTACTTAAAAAATATAATAGAAATTTCTGGTTTTCATTCTGTGGTGTATTTAACTCAGGTAGCAGCTGGTGCTGTTGGGTTAGCAAAAAGAGCACTCGATGAAGCTACTAAATATGCTTTGGAGAGAAAAACCTTTGGGAAACCAATTGTTGAAGTAAGTTAAATACATCAAAATAAATACATCAAAAAGCTATGTTTTCATACCAGATACACTGCTAGTGAATTTTCAAGTTTGTTCCTTGATATTTAGGGGGTGTGATTTCTTATATCTCTGCCATTGCTTGGGTTTTCAAGTATATAGGTCAGCACTAAGTAAATCCAGCTATGCAGTAACTACTGGGATTCTTCAATAACTTATTGATGATAATAGTAAAATCACAAAGAAAACTCCGCCCAAACCCCTGAAATTCATGTACTCTCAGGACACACTTAAGTTCTTCAATTCTAATGAGCAGGTATTTTCAGGGAAGGTAAAAATCTCCCTGAGGTATGTGAAACAAGACTCACAGTATTAACACTAATAGACTACATTGCCAATCACAGTGCTTACCATGCTTACAGGAATATCAATAAACATGAAACTAAATACAGATCTCATAAAAAGTAAATGACAACATAATTCAATACTTAATTCCTGTGACTAAGTGGATTTTAGAATTAAAAACTCAAAAGTCTAATTTGACATTGAGTTATGAAAGCCTGATCCAAATTCTGTAGAACTCCTCAAGTACAATTTCCTGAGTGTGTTGAATTCACAAATTAAGACGACTATATTCTTCCTGGTTGTCAGAGAATTGTAAGCAGGCAATGTTAACCTAGTTTATGTCATCATTCGTAGCACCAAGCGGTGTCTTTCATGCTCGCTGAAATGGCAATGAAAGTGGAACTGGCTAGGATGGCTTACCAGAGAGCTGCGTGGGAAGTCGATGCTGGCCGCAGGAATACCTACTATGCTTCCATTGCAAAGGCGTTCGCTGGTGATGTTGCAAACCAAGTAGCTACGGATGCAGTGCAGATTTTTGGAGGAAATGGATTTAATACTGAATATCCTGTAGAAAAACTAATGAGAGATGCTAAAATCTACCAGGTGAGTAAAAGAGGGAATGTGATCTTTACAGTAATTCATATTTTTATGTAAAATAAACTAATGACTACTTATTTGAAATCGTGATGTACACATATGAAAAAGGTTTTGAGGATAAGAGCAATAATCCTTCCATTTAAAGAAAGGGCATTCAAATCGGGCAAATTCTTGCATACAAAACTCATTGCATTAGATCAACAACTTAACCTACATGAAAGAAATAAATTTAGTGGTGTGGTTTTGTTTTTCTGATGTGGTAATAACTCTGAAATTCCTGGACTCTTCATTTTGAAGCTTTTGAACTCTTAGAAAAAAAAAACACTGTAGAAAACACAGGTCAAAATACCAGTGCTTGCTTTGATATTCTGTAAGTAGAGGTGGTTTCTGTATAATGCTGTCCTCTTCATCGCCTCTTGCTGTGCTCTAAACCTTCTCTCTGCAACTTTGGTATCATAAGCTGGGCAGATTACTTCAGTTAAGATATCACCAGCACTGAGTATCATGGATTAATTATCTTGCGTATGTTGTATTAACAGAAGTGTGGCACAACCTGGAGTGATCAGCCTTTTTTAACCACCACTCCTGCCCATCCCCCTGGCTCATATTTACTCATGTTTAGCCTATAGTGACCCGTAATCCCCAGATCTTTTTCTGCAGTATTATTACTAAGAAATAATTCCATGGCATAATTCTTCTCGTAGCATATACTATGCTACAGTTCTTTATTCAGCAAGAATGATTTAATTATGTGTAGGAAAACCAGTAATCTTTATCTTTTCACCTCTTTCTGACATTAATAATGACTAGATAAAACATATCAAAATAGATGATACCAAGAAGTGCATGTGGACCATGATCTGTAAGGTTAGTTATAGCAGCTGTCATTCTTAAGATTCTAGGTTGAAATTTCTCTTACTTTTCATTTTAAAGTCAGCTGCATTCTCACTAGCCAAGATTTTTTCTCTAAGGATAGAAAACTGCGGCTTCGGGATCTGAAGGTCCTTAGTACTAATTGCACTTGTGCAAGTGAGGAAATGAATGAGGAATTGAACTTTGTTATGATTGGGCTTTTTTCCTGTCAGGTTCCATGTGTTTCTAGAGAAAGGGTGGGAGTGCTAGAAGTTCATTTGAAAGTTGAGACTGATTTTACAGGATCGCAGTTATTTAGATTTTCCATTATGCTGATGCATCACGAATGCATGGCTAGCCTATTATTTTTTAAACTGTTCAAATTAATCAGATTTAGTATAACATTTTTTTTGTGTTTTTCTGCTCCCTTTCATCCCCAAAAGAATACAGGAAAGGCTTTTCTCTTTACAGTTACTTCATCCAAGTCTCTTGATTACACTCGTCTGTATTACTGCCCAATTCCAGATGGCATGCTTTTGACCATATGTTTCATGTACAGAAACTTTGTTTTCCACCTGTTCTTTTCTTCCACATATTTGATATTTCTCAATCTGACACAATTCTGCTACTGTGTTTACTGGTGACATTCTTAGATGTCCACGCTTTGCTCTGTGTTTCTGTCTGGCAACAAACCTAGACCACTGTGATAGACACTCCTAACTTAAGTTTCTCAAATGCAGAAAACTTGCCTTTAATTGTCAATGATTCTTGAAACTGCTCCCATTGACTTACAAACCAAAACCTTTCTCGTCGTTACTTAAGACGACTGTTGATTTTGATGTCTTTATTCTTCAGTTTCACGTCTGCCTTCATCAGCAAGTAGTTTAGTGCAGCAGGAGCAGATCAGCAGATGGCAGGAAGAGCTGCTGAGGCCCCTGCACCCACTGTACGCCGTGTGGGGAGGCCGAGTTCACAGCAGGGCTGTTTGGACTGCTCATCCCCACTACGCATGTCGTTGTAAGGGTCCAGCTACAGGCTTGGACCATTATGTCTTCCTTAGGGTTTGGAGGGTACTGGGTGCATGCGGAGAGGAGAGCTTCCAATTCAGTTTACTCCAGAGGGCACTGAGTATTCACAAAGCAAAATCTGCTCGATGAGCTGGGCCGGTATGGGGCTAGCAGCAGCCAGAGAATTCACTTGGAGAATGAACAGTTTCCTCTGAACCGAAACACTAATGCTTTTATTTTTTAAAAGCTTTACAAAGTTCTTGGGAAGATTATCCCTATTTTATGACTACAGAGAAAGTGAATTTGCATGCCTTTGAGCAATTTGCCAAAGCAAGTTTTGCCGGAACGGGGGGCTGAAACATTTAAACCCCTAAACTATGTTGCCCTCGAATCCCGTTGCACTGTACCTGTGCAGTACATGGCCTTCTTTCTGCATTAGACCTACATATGCGTTTTCTTGGGTATCTCTGACAGTAAGACAAATAGAACAGAGGGAGGATGCAGAATGTTTCTAGGGGGAAATGTAAGAATACATGGTTAAAAAAAAAAAAAAAGAAAAATTAAATACCGTGTTGAAGAGACTACTAGTTAAGAGGGAGTGGTGGAAATAAATGGATGAAAAGGAACAAAAGGCTAGTCAAAGCACACAGGTCACCTCCTCCCTTCCACCCACCGTTTTAAAACCTACTTTGTAAAACCTAAATTATGTATTTTCTTCCCCAGATAAGATATTTTCCCCATCCTTCTTCACCCACTATGTCTGTTAATTTCATGAGAACCTTGTTGAGTTTTGATAAGAGCATCTGAAAGAACACGACTGTTTCTCAATATCTTGTATGGGATTTACTGCGTTTAGCCCACTCCAGTTACTTAAGTCACACTGGAATTTTTTCAGTTTTCTCTGTCTTTCTGCACATCCTAATCCACACTGGATTAGTGTTGTGAAGGTTTACAAGCGATCAGCTAACATTATTTTAATTCTTCTTTTCAGATTTATGAGGGAACTGCTCAGATTCAAAGGATGATCATAGCTCGTGAACATGTTGGCAAATACAAGGCTTAAAGAAATGTATCAAGCACTTCTGGCACTGCTGTGGTGTTCTGTGTTCTCATGGAAGAGGATTTTAGTGCATTTCTTAATACAATTAGATAGGTGTGGAAAAAACCCCTTTTCCTTCAAAATCTTTTACTTGCATACATGATTAAGCACTGCCTATGTACTCCCCATCCATCCTCTCACTTCATTCCTTCTGACTAACAAACTTTGTGTTTTCTAAACATTTCTGAATCCCAAAGTGATTGTTTGTTATCTTTCCCACTCGCTCGCTTTCACTCAAATCTTTGGCTTTTGGTGGGAGAAGAGGTAAACACCTTGCCTGTACAATTTCTATGGTCAAAAAAGTGAACAAAATTCAGGGTTTGTTTTTCTTTTTTGTCTGTGAAGGCATTCAGCATGTAACAAGGAATTGGATTTTAAGTGTTTCTGTATTGATTACAATGATACAGATTTGCTCCCGCTGTTTTATCACTGGAGTTTGGGTGGATATCAAATTAATAAATCTCAGGGAAATTTAAAAAAGCTATTCTGCTTCCTCAGGAATACCATGTTGCAGTACATAGTCTCTAGATCACCACTTGCTAATATGCTAACACTGTGGTTTCGCAGCCTTTAGAAACTTGCATCTTTTAAAAAAATTTGAAAGTGAATACATACTGACTTCTGGACCTTTCAGAAACAGAGTTGCATCAGTTACAACACAGCTGTTATTCTTCTCAAACAGTGGCTGGATTACTACTTGCAGATTATATATATTTTACATGCATCCATGACTCAGTATGAACAAAAACTAGGTTTCGTTTCATAGGGCTTCTTTTCAGTGACTTAACCATCTTATTCACCTGAATCCAGCAGAGACAGACATTGTCATTCACTGCATTCATCTCTGTGCCTCAAAGAAATCCATAACATTTATGAAGAAACTACTTGTTTTCTTGCACCTTAAGCAAGACTTCTTTATCAATGAATGTTAAGTACAGCTCTTGAGAAATACAGGTATGTGTTTTTATCATAATGGGGAAAAAAGTAGTATGGTCATTCAATTTTAAACATGTTTTCATATTAACTGATCCCATGTGAAAGAACCTGTAGGAAATTGCCTTATTTTCAATGCTGTTCTAAACTTGGATATTGCCCCAAAAGCACAAATACAGTAAGGGGCAAGAAATGAGAACCTCACGACACAATGTTTTTTCACTGTAAAATTGGATGATCAAAATATTACTTCTGAGAGTCATTGCTGCAGTCTAATAAAAAGCTATTTATAAGCAGAGAGGTGTGGTTGCTTTTATTTACTTCGCTTGTCAGGTCATTTAAATTGTATTTCAGTTAAGTTGTCCACTGTCTGAAGTAGGTTACAGCTGTGCTGCAGTTCTCACTACGCCACAGCTCCCAGCAGCTGAACAGCCCTCCCAGCTCAGCGTTGGCAAGGCCTGTGTTGCTGCTGTCTGCACGTGTGTCTGTCTTAAACATTTAGATACTATCCAGTAGTAACAGAAAATCAGCTTCAGTGAGCATGGCCTCTTTCACTACTCCACTTCCTAAGCAAGTAAATATTCAGTTAGGATGACTCAAGTGAAAGTGTGTAGCTTTTCCTGGAGAATGACTTGCAGAATCACATTTATTTCAAATCCACTAATTTAAACCCATTATTCCTTTCGATCAGTATATATACTTAACTGTATCTGCAGCAAGAACAGCTGAGGAGGAATTTTTTGAGATTTTTTTTAACCTTGGATAGGCTCTTCTTTCAGCACTGGCACAATGCACCTTCCCCAGACTTCCTGGGGAAATCACTCTGCACTGGAGTGCTGTGTCTAGTGCTGGGATCCCCATGTCCAAGGCATGGACGTACTGGAGAGAGTCCGGGGATGGGCCACAACGATGGCGAACACTCTGGAGCATGAGGCTGAGACAGCTGGGACTGTTCAGCTTGTTGAAGGCTCAGGAGGTTCTTCTCAATGTGCATGAACACCTCATGGGATGGGAAGCAGAAGGAGCCAGGCACTCCTCAGTACTGCCCACCGACAGGGCAAGAGGCAATAGGCACAAATTAAAACACATGAAATCCCACCTGAACACAAGATAACATACTTTTTTACTGTGAGGATGGGTTAAACACCGGCACAGAGCTCAGATAGGCTGTGGAGTCTCCAGCCTTGGAGACAGTCAAAACCCAACTGCACACGTTCCAAGGACACTGGCTCTGGGTGGCCCTGCTGGAGGAGGGGGCCTGGACTAGATGAGCTCCAGAGGTCCCTTCCCACCTGAACCCTCCTGTGAATTCACTTGCAGCTGTTCACCAAAACACCTTTGCTTCACTACGGTCCCGGTCACCCACTACTGAATGTAGCGGTGCGAATCCCATCCCCAGGTATGAAGTCTGCATTGCTTAATGAATCATAGAATCGTAGAATGGTTTGGGTTGGAAGGTACCTTTCAAGGCCATCTAGTCCAACCCCCATGCAATGAGCAGGGACATCTTCAACCAGGGCAGGTTGCTCAGAGCCCCGTCCAACCTGACCTGGAATATTCGCAGGGATGGGGCATCGACCACCTCTCTGGGCAACCTGGGCCAGGGTTTCACCACCCTCAGTGTGAAAAATTTTCTCCTTAGATCTAGTCTGAATCTGCCCTCTTTTAGTTTAAAACCACTACCCCCGTCCTTAATGGCTATAAGCCGCCATCTTATTTACCTGCGGGAAGATCAATACTGCGACATGCTGGACAAGCACTTGCTGTATTTAAAAAAGTACCCACCCACTCCCACCAAAATCCGTCAAAAAACCCAAAGCACCGC